CGTGAGCCCTACAGGTTCCAGATTGGCACATTTATATGGGTTGCCAAAAACCCACAAAGAACCATTGGCTATGAGGCCTATATTATCAGCCACCGACACGTACAACTTTCCCCTTGCTAAATGGCTCGACGAGAAATTGAAGCCCTTGTCCCTTAATCAGTATACAGTTACTGATAATTTTGATTTCACAAAAGAGATTCACGAGCTGAAGATCAACAAGGGTGAAATCTTGGTTTCGTATGATGTCTCCTCGTTATTCACAAACGTGCCTTTGGACGAAACAATAGAGATCTTGGTTAACAGAGCCTTTTCGAACAATTGGTTCAATACTACCCACAATCTTGCCCTTACCAGAACAGATCTTATTGACCTCCTAAACGTAGCCACCAAAGGCCAACTATTTCAATTTAACGGAGCTCTATACGAACAGACAGATGGCGTTGCTATGGGGTCCCCTCTCGGGCCCTTATTAGCAAACGTCTTCATGTCATCCATCGAAGATACCCTTGAGCGACAAAGAAAACTCCCATCCTATTATCGTCGATATGTTGATGATACACTCACTGTAATGCCTGATCTTGCAACAGCAACTACCTTCTTGCATACCCTCAACAGCGCCCACACTTCGGTCAAATTCACCATGGAGGTGGAGAAGAACAGCAAGCTTCCTTTCCTTGGCACCGAACTACTCAACCATGCACCTCGGATTGAAACCAAGGTATATGTGAAACCAACAAACACGGGCCTACTATTACACTACCAAAGCCATGTAGACAATCGCTACAAACGGAGCTTGCTGAAAACTATGCTGGATCGCGCACACCGATTATCTTCCTCCTGGGCCCATTTCTCTGATGAGTGTGATCGCCTAAAGAAAGTTTTCGCACGGCTTAAATACCCGGAACGCCTGGTAAATTCTACCATTAACACCTTCTTACAATCAAGAATTGTTGGTACGCAGCCCACACAGACGCCCAAAGAACCAATATCCATTGTTCGTGTGGTCATACCTTTCAAAGATCAGGAATCAGCAAATTATGTTAAGAAAGAGCTCAAGAATCTTAGCATGAAGGTGCAGACAACTGTCCAGCCAGTATTTGTTAGCCGCAAAGTTGGCCAAGATCTTAAAGTACGAGAAATCAAGCCACAGATTGTCAACCAACAACGCGTCGTTTATCAATTTCAATGTGACCTGTGTGATGCGGGTTATGTGGGCTATACACGCGGACACTTACACACACGCGTGGATGGACATAAACGAAAGGCATCTTCAATATATAAACACTACCACGAACGGCACAGCGAAGTCCCGAAAGACCTACTGAAACGTTTTAGCATTCTGAAAAAGTGTAGTAACAAGTTCGATTGTTTGGTGAACGAAATGCTTTTCATCAGAGACTTAAAACCCACTCTGAACGTGCAAAGCGATTCAATTCGCGCAAAAGTATTTGTTTAATTAGCTCGTAACATATTTATGCTAATTTAGTGTTACACCTTGGCACAAACTTCATTTTTTATTTCTCCTTGACAATGGTGTCATGATGACACCAAAACGTCGGTTTTTATCGTCAGTTTTTGCTAGTCTTTGGAAGAGAAAAAAAACACTAAAAATACAACAGAGAAGAAAAGGGTAGAAAATTGACTTAGCAAGTGGACAGTCATCCTCGGAGACCCAGGGAGTGTGAGTCGATTTCAAGTTAGGGTAGAAGAGCCCATGGGCACATTGTATTACAAGACTAGTTCTAAACGGTTGCAGTCGTTCTGGCATCTGATTGGTGCCAGAAAATCTTTGTGTTTTTCTGCCCAATCAGAGTGAAGTGTGCTTTGGAGTCCTTTCGTGTGTTTTAACATGGACATATACAAGAAGCTCAGTTGCTCACCCTGTAATTTTCGGTCGTGCAACGGAACCTTACTCGAGACGAAAAGTTTCAGTCTCAGCACACAGTGTAATTGAAATCGATCAGACTGTTCACAAAAATCTTACTGGAGATTATACTGAATACTTTCGCAGGTATCACAAGAGAACGTGTTTAATAGTTTGCGAGGTTCGTATAAAGCACAATAGTTGCAGGCGTTAATAGGTCACTTTAAACGTTAAACGAGATGTATGCTTGAATCTTTCTAGATTTTTTGTATGATTTGCTCTTACTGAAACTTTGCCAATCCCGTGAAGTTATTTCGTCGCACGGGCCATGCACGTATGTCGAGCAACTGGCACTTATGCTTATGTATGTAGCTTTCTGTGCGCGCCAAAATCTAATCTTCACTTTGTAGTAAAGTCTTTCACAAATATGGCCAAGATTGCAGAGAACATTAAGTTCGTGGACGACCTCCAGCAAGCGCTTAGAGAAAGCTTAGCTGTGTTTCTGGTTAACGAATCTGAAAAAATCTGAACAAAAACTTATTATCGAGAACATCGTGGAAAGGAGACATGTTTTCGGACAGATACCGACAGGGTTTAGAAAGAGCTTAATCTTTCAACTGCTGCCTGGAGTGTTCAAATCCTTGAGCTGGAAAGGCCACGGATTGTCTTCTAGTCCCTTGGTCATTGTCATTTCACCTTTTTCATCAATTGTTGAAGACCAAGTTAAACACCTTGGATTAGGGGGAATCGATACTGCTTTCATTGGGGAAAACAAAACCAAAGACCAAGAAATATTGGATGGAAATGGCAGGTTTGCTTTATTGTAAATGTCAGCTTTGTGCCAGTTGCTCGACATACCTGCGTGGCCCGTGCGACAAAATAACTTCATGCAATTGGCAAAGTTTCAGTAACAGCAAATTTTACAAAAAATCTATAAAGATTTAAGTTTACATCTCGTCTAACGTTTAACGCCTGCAACCATTATGTTTTATACAAACCTCGCAAACTTTGAAACACGTTCTCTTGTGATACCTGCAAAAGTATTCAGTATAATTTCCGGTAAGATTTTCGCAGACAATCTGATCGATTTCTCTTACATTGTATACCGAGATTGAAACTTTTCACCTCGAGCAAAGCTTTGTCACACAACCCCAAATAAACATGGCAACTGAACTTCTTGTATATGTCCGTGTTAAAACACACGAAAGGACTCCAAAGCACACTTCACTCTGACTGCACAGAAAAACAAAGATTTTCTGGCACCAATCAGTTGCCAGAACGACTGCGACTGTTTAGAACTAGTCTTGTAAGACAATGTCTCCTGGGGCTCTTGTGCCCTAACTTGAAATCAACTGAAAGCCCCTGGGTCTCTGAGGATGGTGGACAGTGGAAGTGCATGCAAAATTTGAAAGAGCAAACTTAATTTATAAGACTAGTACAACAATATTCACAGTATACACTCAACTGCCATTTTAACAATACCTTTAACTGAAGGCATATCAGCACGCATTTCACAACCAGATAACACTGGCCATCTGTTGGTGCAAGAGTCCACTGGCAAAACTTCCTGTTTAGTTTCACAATCTAACCTTATGCCATCAATAGCTACATTGGCAGCTGGGCAGCGTTTATTTTTGCAAATAGTGCATTGCTGTGATTTATCTGATCCACAGTTGCTCTCTGGCAATGTATGTGTGAAGCGGATTTGGTAAATTTTGCTAAATTCTTCAAGATTCACAAATGCTGCCCTCCAGAAAATGTCTCCTTGATCGCCTGTCATGTTCCAACCTGCAAAATAAACAGTCAATTAAATTAATAGGTAAGTATACTTCCTTAATGTTTTGATGCAAATGGTAAATCTTAAGAAGACAGCTTTTGGCTTTAAATCAGCAATTTATTTCATACAATTCAAATCAAGCAAGTGGTTAAACATACATGTATGATCCAGTAACGTAGCCCCTGTGGTGGTCACACTTGAATTACAGATAATTAGTCCTTTTATGACACTTATGAGTTAAAAAACTCATACCCTGTTATATTGTTCTTGCTGTCACATTCTTGGTAAATATTCTTTGTTCTTGATTACATTTTTTTATATGTGATGTCTTCCACAACTTATTGAGGCAGCAAGTGCATGTTTAATGTGACTAAAATGCATTCTGTGAGTGTAGAAGCACCTGGAATAAAATCCAAGCTGTGTTTTGGTTTGATTGGAGAAGAAATCTGTTCACTATTGCATTAACTCTGAGGGGCCCAGTAATGAATTTGTTTCAACCAAAAATTGGTTGGTAAAGTGTTCTCTTGGGAGAATTCAACTAGGTCTTGTTGCAGTTGATAATGGCTGACCCCTAAACAACATCATCCCAGTGTTTATGAATAGTAGATATAATTTATTAGATGTTTTGTTGTGTAGTATCGCTGAGTATTTATACGAGTTGTGCCGTATTTTGACGAGCCCACAGGGCGAGTCAAAATACAAAAAAATGAGTCAAAACACTCAGCGATACTACACAGCAAATCATCTCATAAGTTATTTATTATCCAACATGCCAAATTGTTATCTCGACGATGGTGAATTTCGCAGACATTTATTTACGGGGAGTGTGTGACAGAAGTATGCAACACGGAACAGAATCAGCATGTTGTCATGTTGCTGTTTCTATTTTCTTCAACAAATTAAAAAATTTCCTGGTTGTCTAACTGTTTTTCTTCATTCAGTTCATCTATTAAACTTGGATCTATATTTGCCCGCCATTCTGACTCTTTGTCGTAAGAAATATGATTCAAATTGTCTGCCACTTTTTTTTTCATAACTTCAATCCAATTCTTTGCTTGCGCAACGTGAGAAAACCTGTCTAACCAGTTCTCTGTAGTACAAATACCATGTGATATTTGTACTCGTCTATAGCACTATTTGTACTCTATGGAGTGTAGTTGGATAATCATAATTGAGCTTAATGCAGTACATGGTTTGAACCCGGGGGTAACATGTGAAGGTGTAGTCTGATCGTCCGTCCAGTTTCTGTTGTTATAGCGGAAATTGTGATGCAGAACATCGAGGAACGCGCCCTTTCCACTTGCCGACAAACGATACCGCTTTGGTTACATTACGTTGACGACACATTCACCGCCGTTCGACACAACGAAATTGATGCATTCCACAACCACCTTAACGAACAAAACACTGTCGTACAGTTTACCAGAGAAGTCGAAGAAAATGGCAAACTTCCTTTTCTAGACTGCCTGGTAAGCCACAATGACAACTCATTACAAACGACAGTTTACAGGAAACCGACACACACCGACAGAGTACTAGACGAGTCATCCTACAACCCTACATCACACAAAGCCACAACTATCAGAACTCTAACACGACGCGCACAACTAGTATG